TCATTTGCTTTCTGTATTATTAGGATCACATTAGATCCCAGGTTGAAGATAGTTGTATTCCCTACAGGATGGAAGATAGAAGGTAACACAGTAGTGGGTGGGCATTAGGTGAGACGGGTTTGGATTCTGTGTGTGTTTAAAGGCGCAGGCAATAGGGATTCTGGATGGATAAATGGTGGGGACTGTGAAAAAGGTATCAAGGAGTTGACCTTAACGGGACAGAGAAGCCAGTGCGAAGAACCAAGTTTAAAATGGCTGTTACACTTCCAGGTGGACACGTGGAATGGGCAGATGGGTCTATGTTGGAAGTTCCCTGAAGGAGGGCAAGTCTGCATGTGGAGGACATTACCGTATAGTCTTTGAGACTGGATAGGACTGTTAGGACAGTACAGACGGAGAAATAAAGGACCAAGCTATAGGGCTTTCCAGTTTTCAAAATCTGAAGCGTTAGGGAAGAAACCAACCAGGAATATTTTGGAGTAAACACTGAGGCGGGAGGAGATTGAATGACCATGTCAGTCCAGGAAACAAGTGAACGAAGCGGTTTTCAGGAGGAGGGAGCTAGCAAGTGTGCCACAGGGTTCTGTCAGCCGAGAAGAGCGAAGACCGCAGACTGGCTGTTGGGCATAGCAGCGTGAGGACCCTTGATGTGCCAGCAGCTTGAGCAAAGCGCGAGCGCCAAAGCCTGAATGAAACACGTTCTGGAGGTAATGGAAGCGGAGCAACTGGAGACACGCGCTAAGACGCGCTTTCAAGGAACCGTGCTAAGAGGACAAATAAGGCAGAAGTGGGGAAGAAGTGGCAGGTGAGAGAGGATGTTTCTGAACTGGGAGGAATGATGGCTTGGTTGCCTTCTGGTAGGAAAGATGATCTAGTGAGCAGAAAACTGCAGGAAAGCCGGGAGTGGGGGCGCTAGCTAGGTCCACAGCCGTGAATAAAAGGCCTGGGCTTACTGAGCAAGCGGAGACCTTGACCTTAGCAGCCTGGGCAATTCAAGGCTAAGAGCCAAAGGGAAAGTCGCGTTTATAGCTGCAGGTGATAAAGGAGAAAGGGTGGTGGAGTAAGCTTTGCAGCTGCTCCCATCTTCCTGCGTGTTAGGAAACAAGCCCATCCGTTGGCTGAGAGTGAGGATCAGTGGGAATTGGGAGAATTTGAAGAAAAGGGGAAATGTGTGGGCTGGCACAAACAAGAGGAGGCAAGTGAATGGACTGGGGGGACAGTGATTACTGAGTAAGGTCAGATAGCATTGTGGAGGGTGGAGAACTGGGTTAACTAGGATTGTAGTCTTGCTGATTGTGAGGCGATAAGGGGCAAAGGAAGGGAGGGGTTGTAATGACTGGTTAGCAAGGCAGACAGGAAGATGAGGGACCGAGAGGACTGGGTACCCTCACCAGATCCCAGGAAGTTGGGAGGTTTCCATAAGAGTGTGCTGGGCAGGGAGGGGTCGTAGAGAGGGACATAGAAAACGCAGTGTGGGAGGCTGTGGTTCCTGGCAATGAGGGGGGCTGGATCCCTCAGGGTGAGCGGCCGAGGGGAGGAGCTGCAAGGTCGGAGGAGGAGAAAGCACGTGCTAGCCCACTGCGTACCAGGTCGGCTCTGTTTTCAGCAGCGGAGGAAAGGGCTCTCTAGACACTTGAAGACTATGGCGTTTAATGATGGGAGAGTAAATATTTAGTTCTGTGTGTTTTATCCAGCAAGCTGAAATAAAACTTGTATAAATATCTCTCCATAGTTTAGTATAAAAAAAAGGGGGGAGGCACTGGCATCCATCTGCGAATAAAAAGCCATTATGCCACAAAACAAGTAAACTCATTCTTCTTAATTGTAGCTTTGCCTCAGTTATACCCATAGGAACATCATCACACTGCCCTCCTAGGTGCATTCATCAGAAACAAGAAAAAAGAGTAAGGAAGCAAAGGAGAGTCGTATTGTTGTGTGAAACTTGAGAAGCCTTGCTGACGTCAGGGGAGATGCCAAGCCCGTGTCCTCACAGGGGCTGCCTGTGGCATGGTGGCAGAGGGCTCCTGGCATCGGCATGGGAACCTGCCCATTTGGCTTGTTAGGATTATGATGTACATTAATTCAAATAACTGATGAACTAGGAATAAGGGAAGAAAGGTGTTTGGCTGTGAACTAAGTTAAATGTTTTCGGAAAGGAAGGTTACTTTATGAGATTTATTTCAGTAAAGGAGGGCAGATACTGGAGAGCAGAACGCGTTTGTGTTTGAAGACTACTTTTCACTGGCTGTGATAATTTGGAAATGTTTGGCAACTTTGCTGGTGAAGATTAAAAGAGGATCGGTTTGGGGACGTGGTATTGTGGGCTAAGCGTCCTCCTGTAGTGCCAACATCTCAGATGGGAGCAGGTTCAAGTCCTGTCTGCCCCACTTCTGATCCAGGGAGAGCAGCGGAGGATGGATCAGGCCCTAGGGCCTCTAACCTCACGTGGGAGACCCAGAAGAGGCTTCAGGTTCCTGGCTTCAGTCCAGCCCACTTCTAGCCACTGCAGCCATTTGGGGAGTGAACTAGTGGATAGAAGATTCTGCTTCTCCTTTATCTCTAAATTGGCCTTTTAAATAACTATAAACCTTTTTAAAGAGAGGGTATGCTTAAGAGCCTAGGCTGGCAACCTCTCTAGAGCGGGCACTCGGTGAATGCACCGGCTGTGCCATGTGCTCTTATGTTACCAGTCGATTCCAGCTGAAGTGCTCAACATTTTCTGTTGTAGGTTGCCATTTCTGTGTTGTTGGCCACATGTCTGCAGTACACGTTTGTTATGGGAAAGTCCAGTCTGATGATGTGTATTGACTGGCAGCCTGATTAGCACTTGAAATCTTTATCTTTTTATTATGTGTTGTAAATGATACCAGGGTCACCTGGTTCTCAGAAGCTTCTGTGAAGTCATCAACATCGTGTTGGGTGGAAAAAGATATTACTTTTAATTTATTACATCAGCAGTACTGTTGGTGGGCAGGAGAAATACAAGGAATCTTCCAAAATTCATGGAAGGGGCGGACTGTGAAAGAACTCCATTTTTTTCCCCACAAACTTTTGGCAGAACCCTCGCCTTACATAATTCCTTTCTTTAAGGATCGGAGGGAAGAAGGCCACTGTCAAAATCGGCTTTAACTCCTGTGGCCCACTTCTGTTCTTCCCCGGAAGTAGATCCGTGCCCTTCGGTTGATCAGGTGCTACTAGACAAAGTGTAGAAACCAGATGTAACTTTTGGTACAAGCATGACAGATTAAATCAGATCTCCGCAGCCTGATCGTTCAGCCAACGGAGACACAGGACAGCAGGAGGCTTGGGCCCTGGCACAGGCCAAGTGGTGTTCAGTCTAATGACGAGCCCACCCAGTTCTAGAAGCGGCTTATCGTCATCACAGAGGTGAGAGAGTGTTGCTTACGCAGCCTGCAGTTACGCTGGCCGCCTTTCCCATGAAATAAATTTACTGTGCCAAATGTGCTATGTGCAGAGAGGAGGGGACTGGCATGTTTTAGGAAGGTAAGCAAGAAAATTACCACTAGTCACTTGGCTGGACAAGATTGGTAAAGCAAGTAGCATTCCAAGAGAAGGAAGAAAAGGGCAGAATTCCTTAGAGAATTGTTTCAGGCTTACAACGTCTGCAGGGAGGCAGCTATAAGATGACTAAATGAAGCAGGCTGTAGAGATTTGCCTGGTGGGGATGTCAGTCGCATTGAATGAAAATCCGTACCTGGTGCTCCAGGCAAAAAAACAAGGCAAAACGAAGCGGACTGGACTGAGTGCAGGATACCATCCTCGGCTTCACTGCTTAGCAAGGGAGGCAGGAATTGGCTGTTAATGTTACCACATCATGGTAGGCGGTTAATTAAATGATGTGAACAAAGACTTTGGAAGCACAGAAAATGAAACGGTTAATTTATGTGCCAGTAGGAAGCATTAGGTGATGTTAAACCAAGTAGGAAGAGCAGAAAGACTGACGGGAACTGATAGGACGTTCTGCACACAGGAATGGTGTGAACGCAGTGAATGCACCGGGGAGTCTGTGCAGCAGCAGGAGGAGGTGAGGCACAGGGAAGGGAAAAGCAGAGGACCAAGCACTTGGCCCATGCCTACCTATAAAAAAAGATTAGTTGTTCAGAATACAGAGAGGGATTGGCGCAAGTCCGGCCATTGCGGCCACATGGGGAGTGAATCATCAGACAGATCTTCCTCTCTGTCTCTCCTCTCTGTACATCTGACTTTCCAATAAAAATAAATCAGTAAATAAATATAAATACACTAAGAGTGCCCCTGTGACTTTTTGGTTATTTTGGTAAAGATTGACTGCTGAGAGGTGAATGGGCACAGAGTGGCACTAAAGGACGGATTTGGTAGCCCTGGATGGGGACTTTGGAAGTGAAAGCAGCCACAAATGAGCTTACTTTTTGCTTAACTGCCTAAGTGGATGTTGTTACCTCAGCTCAAATGTAATAACAGAGAAACAGACAAGGAAGAAAGGATGTGTTTGGTTCTGACATTTTGAATTTGAAGGGGCTGTGGTAGCTATTCTCAGTAGTTGGAAATACGGGTTGAAAACGTAGGAGTAAGTGGACACATACACACACGCCCACACACACACACACGCGCACACGCACACACGCCCACAGCCACCATCAGCATGGGGTAAGGACTCCAGGGCATCAGCAGGTACCGCCTTCCAAGAGAAGGTCTGCAGGGACGAGACCAACGTGGAGAACCGTCCTTGTGTTCAGGGTGGGGACAGTTCTCTATAAACTGTCACTGCATCTTGTGTTGTTAGTCCACTTCTCTGTCACTCATGTTGCATCTTAAACCCTTTTGTTCCTGAAAATGGATTTGCTCTGAAGCAGAGCCTGCTCTTACTCTGCTCGGTTGAGGATTTCACGGATGTGAAGGTACTCTTCTATTGCAAGGAAACTGGTCACGTTTGTCATTACACTTCACTCTTCAAAAACAGCCGTCTGAGTACGCCCTTAGTGACTGCTCTTCCCTCCTAGGAGCTTATGCAGCAGAATGGCATCTGCTACGTGTTAAATGCTAGCAACACCTGTCCCAAGCCAGACTTCATCCCCGATTCGCATTTCCTGCGGGTGCCTGTGAATGACAGCTTCTGTGAGAAAATCTTACCATGGCTGGACAAATCTGTAGATTTCATTGGTAAGTAGTTGATGTTCTGTCGCCATTCTTTGGACTATAGTCTCATGGATAAGCCTGCGCACCCATCCTTCCCCCTTTTTTCTTCAGAGAAAAGGAGGTGATTTCAGGTATTTCAAAAGCCTAGGAATGGCACATGTTGCTGCTTCCTCATTTGGTCTGCCCAGGTGTGCCATGCTGTTGCTGGGGGACTGGCCTTGGGAGGCTCTAGGTAATATTTAACACCTCCAAGGTTAAGTCTGCTAGGATCTATGATTATGTCACTGCAAGTGCTTAAAAACTGGCTAGGGCCTGGCCTGGTAGCCTAGCAGCTAAAGTCCTCACCTTGAACGTGCCAGGATCTCATATGGGCCCTGCTTCCCATCTTGTGGTCTGGGAAAGCAGTCAAGGACCCTGCACCCGCGTGGGAGACCGGAAAAATACCCTGGCTCCTGGCTTTGGATTGGCGCAGCTCCAGCATTTGCAGCTGCTTGGGGAGTGAATCATTGGACGGAATATCTTCCTCCCTGTCTCTCCTCCTCTCTGCATATCTGCCTTTCCAACAAAATAAATACATCTTTCTAAAAAAAAGAAAAAAGGCTAAGATTTTCAGGTTAAACCCTCTCACCTCACATTTTTTTCAAAGCTCACAGAAAAATCTGGAACCTTTGAATTGGAAAGATTTAGAGAGGAGAGAAAGATATTCCATCCTCTGGTCCACTTCCCAAGTGACTGCAATAACTGGAGCTGAGCCCATCTGAAGCCAGTCTCCCCCATGGCACAGCACTGATGAAAATGTTGGCTGCCTCCAGGGAGCACGGAAGCTCCTCCCCTCCCACACAGAAGCTGGGTACCTCTGCACAAGGACAGTTGGGGAGCACTGCTCTTTGCTTCTGCAAAGTATGGATGAGTTTTTCTGCCATGATACCGCCTGGGTGTCAAGGAAGGGGTATGTTACCTGGATGCCCCTCAGACCAACCCTGTCAGCCTGATCAATGTTCTCTTCTTGATTTCAGCAAATAAAGTAGAACAGTTTACGACTTAGGGAATGACGAGGAAAAGAGGCTGTCTGAATTTCAGCTTGTTTTTTTTTTTAAAGATTTATTTTATTTTTATTGGAAAGGCAGATATACAGAGAGGAGAGATAGAGAGGAAGATCTTCCGTCCGATGATTCACTCCCCAAGTGAGCGCAACGGCCGATGCCAATCCGAAGCCAGGAGCCTCTTCTGGGTCTCCCACGCGGGTGCAGGGTCCCAAAGTCTTGGGCCGTCCTTGACTGCTTTCCCGGGCCACAAGCAGGGAGCTGGATGGGAAGTGGAGCTGCTGGGATTAGAACCGGCATCCATATGGGCTCCCGGTGCGTTCAAGGCGAGGACTTTAGCTGCTAGGCCATGGTGCCGGGCCTGCCACATCCTTTTGAAATAAGAAAAAAAGAAAAAGCTTTTTAAAGATTTTATAATAAGGGAAAAATTTTTAAGTGTCATGGGAATACAATTTTCATAAAGTCAGTGGATTAGCTGTGTTTTCGGATGACTCTTCATATACTTCTATTTCTGAAATTTTCCACATCAAAAAAAAATCACGTGGCCACCATATAGGATTCACACTCAGGAAACATTACTGAAATAACACTTGGCGAGAAGTGCTGAGGGGAGATGTGGGCAGCGTGAGTCAGTAACAAGTTACTCATCCTTGCCTGCCTTCCTTGTCCTGTGCGCCACTGGTTTGTATTCTCATTAGAATACTGCAAGGGTTAATTACGTAAGTAAATGTTTGTGTGGAAGCTTCCAGATGGAGACCCTAAGTTCGCCGCTGTCAGTCACTTACCTGGAATTTCTGACTTGCGCAGAGAAAGCAAAAGCCTCCAACGGGTGTGTCCTCGTGCACTGCTTGGCTGGGATCTCTCGCTCTGCCACCATTGCCATAGCCTACATCATGAAGAGGATGGACATGTCGCTGGACGAAGCTTACAGGTGAGAATGGGAACATGTCACATGTAACTGGCTGTGTGTCACATGTGCTCACATGATGAGACAGGAAGGTGGGCACACTGCTGCCTGAGGAATGGTTTTTACTGGTGTCAGATGGGGGGAAGATGCAGGTCTATTATTAAGCACTGGTTCTGCCCATTCATGTGCCAGGTTCATCCTGTTACTGAGGGCACAGGAAGTACAGGCAGAGCTGTCTGCTAAGCAGCTTTCTGGCTGTGCTTGTAGCCGTTCCCGTTTCTAACTTGGTGTTGCTGTGGAGCAGCAGCCGCCTGCATTAATTGTTAAAGATTTAATTTTTATTTTTATTGGAAAGACAGATACCCAGAGAGGAGGACAGAGACAAAGATCTACCCGATGATTCACTCCCCAAGGGCCACAAAGGCTGGAGTTGCGCCGATCCAAAGCCTGGACTTTCTTCTGGGTCTCCCGTGCAGGTGCAGGGTCCTTAGGCTTTGGGCCGTCCTCCACTGCTTTCCCAGGCCATAAGCAGGGAGCTGGAAGGGAAGTGGGGCAGCTAGGATTAGAACCAGCATCCATATGGGATCCCGGTGTGTGCGAGGTGAGGACTTTAGCTGCTAAGCTACCACGTGGTGCCCTCACCTTGTTTCCTTAAAACAGCAAGCAAGGCAGCAGTGCTTCTGGGGCTGGACTTGTGCTTGGAAAGCGTAAGACTCAGCCCTGATCGGGGAGAGGTGTTTAGAGTTCATGTGACCAAGAAACAAGATGACATGGAGCAAGCCTCTCTTCATAGTTGGACTTTTGTCTCAAATTGGAAAAATTGGGAGGAATTGCAACTCCCCACCCCCCAGCTTCTCCCTGGAGGCAGCAGGCAGGACGGCCAGGGGCCTTGCGGCTGCTGTGTCTGCCCTCACTCGCTGTCCTCCCCGGCTGCTCTGCTGGGGTCTCCTCCATCCTCCAGAACCCTCAGGAAAGGGCAAGGGTGCCTAGCTCAGGGTGCCAAGCCTGTGAGGGCCCTCTGGTCCCACGGAGGGTTCAGCCCGTTAGTTTGTTAATTTGCTCTAGGTGGCTTGATTTCCATGGAGATTATTTTGCATTTTTCTTGTTCTTGACACTGATGCAAATTTCCCGTGCTCTACTGCTGCATCCTGTGGGGAGGACCCAGGGGCCTCTGAGGCAGCTGCTGCCCCCTCCAGGCGGCTGTGTTGCTACAACAGATGTGCTTTAGTTTTGATCCCTTGGTGAATCTTTCTTCAAAATGGTTCCAAAAGGCACCTTGGGCTGGCATAGCAGCTTTAACACTCTGATCCTCTGCCTGCCAGCGTATGGGTACCAGCCCATGTCTTGGCTGCCCCGCTTCCCATCCAGCTCCTGCCTGTGGCCTGGGAAAGCAGTCGGGGATGGCACAAAGCTTGGGGACCCGGCACCTAGCTTTAGACCAGCCCAGTCCTGGCTGTTGCAGCCATCTGGGAAGTGAACCAGTGGCTAGAGGACATCGTGCCCTCTCTCTTCCTCCGTAACTGTCTTCCCAAGAAAAATCTTTTAGAAAAAGGCTGTAATCTTAGGTAAACCTGGTTGTGCATCCCAGGGTCTTCATTTAGCACCTGTGGACTGGGGACCTTGTGTACCGGGGTAATGGGGCTGTCCACCCCCACCTGTGTGCAGCAGTTCTGAGGCCGAGAGGCGGCAAGGCTTTAGTGGAACGGGGCTGCTTGGTAGCTGAACATTGGCTCGGGCTGTGCACAAGGAGGAGCCCAGAGCTGTGTGCTGATCCTTGTCCATGTGCCAGCGCTCCTCAGAAGTGCTTCTGGGGAAGCAGAGGACCGCGGTGGACCACGGGCATAGGAGACCCCCCTGGCGATAGTGCTGCTGTGTTGCAAGGGTGTGGGGTGGGGAGAGAGGCCTGCCTTGGGCCCTTGAAAGTCAAGAGGCTGCAACTCGAGCTCAGTCAGCCTGGCCAGCTTTGTGCTAGAAAGACACCCCTGTACCCCAGCCAGGCCAGAGGCCCTGGGATCTGCCACCCGAGCCGGCCCGAGCTTTTGAGCTGCTCGACTCCCAGGGCTCGTGGTGGAGGTTTCTCGGCCGGTGCCCTAGCCTTTATTCCCTTTCTAAGTAACTTATGTAAGATTGAGGGTTGATTTTCTTCCCCTTCACAGATTTGTGAAAGAAAAAAGACCTACTATCTCTCCCAACTTCAACTTTCTGGGCCAGCTCCTGGACTATGAGAAGAAGATTAAAGATCAGCCTGGGGCGCTGGTGCCCAGGAGTGCCATCATGCTGCCACACGCAGAGAAGTCCAGCGAGCCTGGCCCTGCTGCCTCTGAGGGGGGTCGGCCAAGGACGGGGGTCCCTACTGCCCCCTGTGCCAACTCCGCTACCTCAGAGGCAGCAGGGCTGGGGCCCATGCCACCTGCCTGCGGGCCCGGCCTGCCGCCTGGCCTGCAGGACGACAGCCTGCTGGTCCAGGCCCTCAATGGGCTCCACCTGCCCTCAGACAAGCTGGAAGACAGCAGTAAGCTCAAGCGGTCCTTCTCTCTGGACATCAAGTCAGTGACGTGTTCGGCCAGCACGGCCTCCTTGCACAGCTTCTCCTCCGAAGATGCTCTGGAATACTTAAAGCCTTCCGCGACTCTGGATGGGACCAACAAACTCTGCCAGTTCTCGCCCGTGCAGGAGGTATCGGAGCAGACTCCCGAGAACAGCCCGGACAAGGAAGAGGCTAGAGTCCCCCAGAAGCCGCAGCCTCCCTGGCCTGCGGAGAGCCAGAACCTGCGGCTGCACGCAGTGCGTGGCAGTGGCACCCCGCCGAGGGCTCGCGTGGCCCCTCTGCACCGCACCGGGAGCGTGGAGGACAATCTCCACCCTGGCTTCCTCTGGGGAACCCCCACCAGCCAGCAGCACCTTACCACGTCGGCCGCTGGTCTGGGCCTCAAGGGCTGGCACTCTGACATCTTGGCCCCTCAGACCTCGAGCCCTGCCTTGCCCAACAGCTGGTATTTCAGCACTGAGTCCTCTCACTTCTACTCTGCCACCGCCCTCTATGGAGGCAGTACCAGCTGCTCTGCCTACAGCTGTAGCCAGCTGCCCACAGGCAGTGACCAGGTCTACTCTGTGCGCAGGCGCCAGAAGCCCAGTGACCGAGTGGACTCCCGGAGGAGCTGGCACGAGGAGAGCTCCTTTGAGAAGCAGTTTAAGCGCAGAAGCTGCCAGATGGAATTTGGAGAGAGTATCAGGTCTGAGAACAGGTCGCGCGAGGAGCTGGGCAAGGTGGGCAGCCAGTCGAGCTTCTCCGGCAGCATGGAGATCATTGAGGTCTCGTGAGCAGACAGGCCTGCGAGACTGCTCCTGGTGACTTTGGTTCACAGAAAAATTCCCTGTAAATCTGAAATACATATATGTACAGACATATCTATTTTTGGAAAATGGAGCTATGGTGTAAAAGCAAACAGTGGGTCCGCACAGTTCCCTCTCACCATGTGCACGGGTGAGGTGAGCAAGCGGAAGGGGTCGCTCGCCTCCCCTCTGTGCAGCAGGTGGATTCTCTGACTTGCACGTCCTTCCGAGCAGAGCGCGTGCGCTCAGTGGCAGAGGCCAGCACCCCCTGCTGCTTCCGCACTGTGCTACAGCAATCTCAGACACTGCTCTGTGCAGCCTTCCACTGTGCACCTTAGCGCCAACTGAGCCAGCTTGTGGGTCGGATGGGCAGACCCTCCCGGGGCAGAACCCGACGGGAACCCGAGAAACGAACAGTCAAGCCCGAGCCTCACGTCCACACTCGCCTGATGCGGAGCGGTGGGAGCACCGTTCCACTGGAGGGACCAGGATCCACTTTAGAGCAAACCCAGTACCTCAGACAGCCGTGGCGGGGCCTGCACCGCTCCCAGCTCTGCCCGCTGTCCTCGGGCGCTGGGGAGAGGTGGGTAGCTAGGCACACTTCCAGACCAGTTCCAGCTGTCTGTGCACAGAAGCCCGTGGGACCTGCTGGGAGGTAGTTAGCTTTGTTTTCTTCTCACCTCAGAGAAGGGGAGCCACGTAGGATTCAGCTCAGCCAGGAACCTGGCAGTATCGTGATTCAAGCCGAGGATGGAGGCGCAACGAGTCTCCCTCCCGCTACAAATCGAAGAATTGTGTAAAACGGGATTGTTGATCCTTGAAATAAAGATTAACATGGTTGAACCCAAATGTGGATTTCTTTGAGTTGGTGGCAGCCGCCCCTTTGAGTTCTCAGCTGAAGTGGATGCGTCTCATTCCCAGGTCCCTGCAAGTTTGTAGAAAGAGAACAGAATGTTAGCGCTGACTACCCAGGGCGGGCGGTCAGGGTGGCAGAGGGAAGTGGCAGCCCGCTCTTCTTGGTGGCTCTTTCCCCTTAGCCTGTGACCAGGGGGCGCCTGCACAACTTCCTCAAGACAGTCCATGTGACTAGGGCGGAGAAGGGCCCGCAGTGAGCGAGGGCACAGGAGGTGGCAGCTGTGCTTGGCAGGGACCGCTCCCTGCGGCCGTGACCCACAGTCACGGTGTGGGCTGAGCCCGGCCGAGCACAGGGGGCAGTGAGAACGGGCACACAGCGATTGTGGCTGTCTGCCTCCCCGCTTCCTGGCCCGCTTATCAGCCACGGTCCGGTCCTCCTTTGAAGCCGCAACCCACGTCAGCATTTTCTCCCTGCGGCGAGGTCGGGGCGGGTGCTGTCCTGTCGTCGCCTACTCTACTGTCGCCAGTGGCTGGCTCCCAGCTCAGGGTCTGCACTGAGGAAATGGACAGGTCTCTAGACTGGGACTTGATGTTTCCTATGGCGATCCCTAAGACCAGCACAGCATGGCACACTGGTCACGTACACGCTTCCTAGGCATGACTGACCATGCGCAGGTGACACGCCGTCAACACATGACAGGCACGTGCGGTCACCCCATTGGGAAAGCTCGGAGTGACGTGAGTTCTAGATGACATGAGGTTCAATCTGATGTCATCCCGCACCGTCAGGGTTGCACATGCCGCGTGGGTTAGAGCTCACCACCCAACAGGATCCGAGACGTGAAAGCAACAGCTCCGCGGTTCACACATTTCCGGCGGAGGTGAGCAGCTCGGCTTGAGCAAGCTCTGTGGGCATGAGTCGGCCTTGTTCCGGGGGGTCTCTCTCATTGCCCTGTGGTCCCAGCTGCTGCCCGTGGTCCTCACTTACACACATTGCAGTCCCTGGCATCCTGGCAGTGCTTGCTGTGAGGGCAGGGGGAGCCCTGGGGCCCACGGGCGCGTGCTCCACACATCGGCGACTGAGCACGCAGCGAGGTGTCCATGTGAGAAATGCCAGAAGCGGTTTAGGAACCTGTTAGCCGAAGAGAATGTATAAATGTTTAATAAGAAAAGAAGGCTTTCAGGGTAAGTCAAGCCAATGAATGGTTAAATTGTGCCTTTCTTGATGTGTCATGTATGTTAATATGAAATAAAATCAAAATTGGTACCTGTTTATCAGAGAGAGCTGAAGCCTGGCTGGGGTCAGGCCCGTCCGCGCTGCCCGAGGAGGGGCGGGGGCCCTGCTGCTGGGGCAACGCTCAGGATTGGACCAGGAGAGCTAGCACCGGAAGAGGCATCCTAGGCAAGAAGAGATGGGAATGGGAATAAAAGGAATGCAGAGCCAAGCAGCTTGCAGGCCCTGGAGGCCTGAGGTCGGGGTGACTGTGGGAGGCCCAGCCAGCCCCTGCTCATGGCCTAGGGAGCTTGGCCGTGGGCTGGAGGGCTGCTCAGGAACTTACACTCTCACACCGGGGCTGCAGCCACGGGGCAAGTGAGGAGGTGCAGAAATAAGTAACCTTGGGCACTTTTCTGAGTCTTGCATGTATCCATGGAAGAGCGCAGGCAGTGAGCTGCGGCAGCCTTGGGGCCCATCCATCCCCTGCAGGGCATTAGGCTTGGCTGGATCTAAATTTAGTGTTGCAGAATCAACTGGAGGATCCCAGCACTGTCTTGCTGTAGTTTAGGTACTGATGCCAAGTTACGTGTATGTGATAACAAGTGTTCCTTTCAGCTGTAGTGGCAACACCAGAATTCCTTCAGGCTCCCACCCCACAGGAGGGCCACAATGTGAGCATGCAGGAGCAGTGTCCCGGGTTAGGGGGTGGGGGACTGGGGAAGGTCAGGGCAGAGGTCTTCGTCAGGGGATGGTGACGGTTTCAAAGAATAAACTGAAAGCACCTGGTTAGGCCACTGCTTGCGACATCCGCATGTGCTCTACTCCTGACGTCAGCTTCCGGCCAGCAGAGGATGGACAAGGAGGTCCTGGCTCCCAGACATGTGGAACTTGAACCAGCATCAGATGCGAGGGCTTCCCAGCCTCTCAAAGAAGTTTATTTAAAGTTTTTGAAAACACTTGGTTTGTTACACCAGCTTTTGGCACAAAGCATGCCTCAAGGAGGAAGAATTAATTGGATCTTCAGTCGATGCCGCCAGGTCACACACAGACCTTGGGAAGGCCCAGCAGCAATCCCGGGCAAGGAGCAGGGCGAGGGGCGAGGGGCAGGGGGGCAGGCGCCAGGGTGAGGGGCAGGGGGGCAGGCGCAAGGGTGAGGGGCAGGGAGGACAGTGCTAGGGTGAGGGGAGGGGGCTAGGGTGAGGGGCGAGGGGCAGGGCCAGGGTGAGGGGCAGGGGGCAGGGCCAGGGTGAGGGGCAGGGCCAGGGTGAGGGGCAGGGGGGACAGGGCGAGGGGCAGGGGGGACAGTGCCAGGGTGAGGGGAGGGGGCTAGGGTGAGGGGCGAGGGGCAGGGCCAGGGTGAGGGGCAGGGCCAGGGCAAGGGGAGAGGGCCAGGGTGAGGGGCAGGGCCAGGGTGAGAGGCAGGGGGCAGGGGCCAGGGCAAGGGGCCAGGGGCAGGTCAGCATCAGCCCAAGGTGCCCGGGACTGGTGGGGAGCGCCCAGAGCTGGCTGCTCCCACGGCTGACTTCTTGGAGAGTTTCAGTGTGATGCATGCCAATAACAGCATGATCAGACTGCCCTCTGCGTCCGCATGTGAGCTGGGAGCAGAAGGTGCCAGCCTGCACCATCAGAACCCCCAGGAATTCAGCGTGGTTTCTGGTGAGTGAGTGAACGACGACCCCTCCAGGGCACTCCAGGGTCCTCCACCCAAGGATGAGGATGGGGTTGAGGAGTCGTAAAATTCTATCTCAATAGCACAGAGTCACACTCCTTCAATCTGCGTCATTTCCTGTGGGGATCCATTTACCTGGGCTTAGCTGAAGTGCAGTATCAGACAGAAACACGAAGCTTTGAATGCCCGTTTGCCTGGCGCTGCTCTGCTCCGGATGTGCCAGGGGCACAGCCAGGGCCAGGGACATCCCCCACACAAATGACACGTCAGCCCCCAGAGCAGTGGTTCACGTAACCTCGGAGGCAATGGTTCCCATAATCTGACTGTGACACTACCAGCCTCTTTTATAAGTCTGAGGAAAAAGCAAAGAAATACCAGGGAATACTTAAATAAAAAGCAAAAACCACAAAACTCGCTTCCTGAGCACGCTCCTAGGACTCGGGCTATGGAGGCCTTGGCAGCCGGAGCACCCAGCGGCCTCCACGGGCAACGGGCGGCTATCCACAGCCAACCCAGACTGCACTCTGAGGAGACTGTACAATGGCACTTGAAAGCTCATGGGGAAAATGGGATTAAAAGTTTATTTGGCACCAGAAACTTTTGTCATCATGCAGTTATCATAATGCATTTCCCATGAACTTTCTGAAGAAAGCATGCATGACTGTGGGTACAGCACAGGAGCCAATGCCAGTGGCTGGCACATGGAGGTGAGGGAGACAGACCCACAGCCAGTGAGCAGGGCCTCGGAGCCGCCACCCTCCCGGGGCACAGGTCCTGCAGAAGCTGGCACTACCCCCTGACACACGGAAGCTGACGGCGCCAGGCGCTCTGGGAGCAGGGTCAGCCACATGCAGCATCAGCGGCTACACGGCTCGGTGGCATTCCAGCTGGTGTGCTGTCAGCCATTCGCAGTGCAGTCAGGATGGCTCTGCCAGCAACTCTTCCAACTCTATAGATCCTCAGAGACCTTCCAAATAAAAATGTAAGTACATACATATATATTTTAAGCTGGCAGGAAAGGTGAAGAACAATACAATGAGTGCTTTATTTCCTTCATCTGCTCTGACAGGAAGTGGTGGCACCTCGGAGCCCTTGCCATCCTCGACCTCTCTAGGTTCCTGGAATGCATGGCACCCAGCTGTGACCCAGAGCCAGGCAGGTGCATGCCTTCCTGGAGCGCTCTGAGTGGGGCCTCCACCTCCCCAGTAGGGAGGCAGCACGGCTACCCCGCCCAGGGAAGAGGCGCTCTGAAGGAGTGCGCCCCTTTCCTAGCAGAGGGACAGGAAGCAGGGAGCCAGGAGGGAGGCCCATTTTTTAGCCTTTGTTGGGTTGCACTGATTAAAAAGTTGTCTATTTAAAGAAAAATGATTTACTTTTCATTTAAAAGGAAGACCCAAATGGGCCAGCGTCTGCCGTGCAGTGAGCCATGCCGCCCGCAACAGCCCCTGTGTCCCGCAGGCCTGGGAACAAAGGTGGCCTCACACCTAGCAGGAGGTCAGAGCCTTGCCTGCACTGGGGTGACACGGTGACACCCAGTCTGAGGAAACCCACTGAGTGTCGTGGGACATGAGCGCAACGCCGGAGCTGCGGCGACGATGCACAGGGGACACTGTGACTGCCACACTACACAGAGCCAGTGTTCGTGGGGCAGCAAGAGGGTGCTGGGACAGAGTGGGTGTGACAGAACAGCACGGGCACAGCTCTTAGGGTGTGACGCAACCAGCTCTTTATGTCAGCAGCCCACGCCCAGTGCCTCCCGAGTGTACGTCAGGAGCGGGTCTGGGCACAGCCTCTCTGAGCCCGTTCCCCCTCTCTCCATATTTTCACCCTAATAGTTAAATCAGCTCATAAATACTCCCAACTAAAAATCTAAGCAAAATAAAAAAATAATTCTCAACAAATAGTTCTTGACAGAACTCCCAATAATCCAAATGCTGCAACTTGAGTTGTCCCCAAGAACCGTCCGTGTGTTGCGCAGGGCTGAGGTGCTGGGCGGGAGCAGGGCCGAGCTCCAGGCGGCCTTGGCCCTGGGCAGTCCTGGGCCTCTGCCTCCACTGCCCTCGATGTGCTGGCCTCCAGCTGGCGGCGCAGGCCCTAGAGCTGGGGCTTGTGGCCCGGCTTCACGCTGAAGGGTTCCAGGCGCTCGGCCTCGGGCAGCAGGCTGTTGAGCCGCTCCATCAGCGGCACCGTCTGGTCGATGCCCATCTGGATGCGGCGGAGGATGGCGGACATCTCATTGACTTTCTGGATCTGCTCCGCGTACTTGGCGTATCTCTTCTGACGTTCCTGCATGAAACTAAAGAGGGTTTCTACAGACAGATCCATCTGTAGAAGCAAAAAGAAGTGAAACATGTTAAATGTTTGGGTCCAGCCTTGCCAGCACATCGGGTATCTTGACAAGAGGAATGACATCCGGAGGTCACGTGGCATCTGACTGGGTCTACCAGAAGCACTGGTGGCAAGGAGCCCAGTAAGAAGCCCCAGAGCATCAGCTGCTGGGCCATCCTTAGAGAGGGGCCAGGCGAGGACTGCCCCGGGCAGAGGGAGGGTTCTGAGTCTGCAGAAGGCACTCAAACTCGTTCCAAGTACCTTAATCAAAGTGAGGGCCTAGTTGCCCTTCTGGCTGCTCCACTACGTAAAGAAACCGAAAATATCAGCTAGTCAAATCCAGGGATATGAAAAAAAAAATCACACCTCATGACTGAGTGATGTTTATCTCAAACAAGAACAGCCTGGTGAAGAAAGTCTGTGAAAAGCCCAGGGCTGGCATTACAGACCTCTCCCTCTGAGCAGGCCGGGGCAGGGACTCCTCCGGCCTCAGCATTTGAGATAATAGCCGTCCCGAGGCTTACACTGGAGCAAAACACACATGGTGATTTTTAAAATGCATGCAACTGGAAAGGAACACGGTCTTCATCTGCAGGTGACAGGACAATGTGCTAAGCAGTCTCAGAACAACCCCAAAGCAGTAACACTACAAGCAAACGAGCAGGAGAACAGTCACTACCTACCAGGCAGCTGCACTCCTGCAGAAGTGCGCATCAGAATAAAGGAATGCTAGGGACAGCTCGACAATCAACAACACCAAGTACTTAACACTCCACACAAGATGTGGAAGACCTGTATGTCAGTATCATAAACACGATGAGAAATGAAAGACCCCAAACACAGAAGCATACCACAAGCATGGATTGAAGACTCAGTATCTTTAAGACGTCAATTACTGCCAAATTGTTCAACAGATGCAAATGAAATTTGAATCAAAATTCTACAAGGTATTTTTTTTAGTAAGCTTGTTTAAGTATAAAGAATGGTCAAAATTTTTGAAAAAAAATTTAAAAACCTTGAAGTTTGAAAGACTTACAGAACTTAACAATTACAAAGCTACATTGATCAGCAGAGTGCGGTGTTGGCTTACACGCAGATCAATGAAGAAGTATGAAACCCAAACATAAATCATGGATATTTTTGGGTTTTTTTTTTGCAAAAGTTCCACCGTTTTAATGCAAAAAAATAAAGTTTTTCAACATGTGTGTTAGGACAAGTAGATATCCATATGGTTAACAAGAGAGCGGGAGACACAGAGAGAAATAAAAGAAGGCAGGGAGGGAGGAAGAGAAAGGAAGGAAGAAAGAAAGAAACTGGACGTCTCACACCACACAAAAAATGACATGAATTGGATCACAGGCCTAAATATAGAAGCTGAAACCATAAAACTGCTACAAGAAAACCTAAGAGATCTGGGGGTAGACACAGATTTCCCAGTTTCAAAGGCATTAAATATAAAGGGTTCAATTGATTTTCAAAACTTCCCTTCAAAAGACACTATGAGCAAAATGAGAATTACAGACCGAGAAAACCCCAATACATAAACCTGACAACCACAACTTACTCCCAAAGCACACAATGGACTCTTCTGATTCAATATTTAAAGTCTGAAATCCAGCTGTTACAGGCACTTGGGGAGCAAATCAACAGGTGGAAGATCTTCTGTCTCTTCTCCTTTCTCTGTATATCTGAGTTTCCAATAAAAATCAATACTTTTTTTAAAAAAAGTAATGTTCAGTTTTACAAAAAAATGTATTTATTATTTGAAAGGGGGAGAGAGAAAGAGAGGTAGAGAGATTTTGCATCAACGGATTCACTCCCCAAAGCCCACGATAACTAGAGCTGGGCCAGCCTGGAGCCAGGAGCTGGGAGCTCCATCTGTATCTCCATGTGCGGCAGCAAGCACACAAACACTTGCACCATGGCCTGCTGCCTGCCCGGGTGCCCAGTAGCAGGCAGTTGGGGCCAGGAGCCAAGCTGGGACTCACAGCTAGACACTCCAGTACAAGCTGCGGGCATCCCGAGCTGCACCTTCACCACTGTGCCAATGCCCACAGGCCCACCCCACGAGCAGCTTTCAATGTGACGTCATTCAGCGAACTTCAAGACTCAAGGTCAATTTGTGTTTGGTCTTAACTGACAGCTCACTTTCTCTGCACTCATTTATTTACATCCCTGTTTAGAACAGGAGGCCATGAACTGCTGAGGGCCTGCCAACCAAGCGCCACCTGACTTCCGCTTCCACTTTCACATTCATTCCCAACTCGCTTCTTTCTCTGGATGAAGATTCTCCTGTGTTCAAGACTGAACAAGCAGTGATGATGATAACAGCGATGTGTGTGAGGGACACGTCTGCCGCAGGGCAGCTGTTTGGGACAGCAGTTAGCACACCTGGCAATGTGAGCTGCACCACTGCATTCTGATCTGGATCCTCCCCGGCTGCCCCTCCCATAGATGCTACGTCTAGGCGGGTGGGCCAGCGGGAAAGGAACCCCCAAACGCTGAGGCAACTCTCTAGCCTGAACATAGGAAAGTCAGCGAGTCCCCGGGCACCTGCCCCCACCCCCACTCACCACTGTAAAGGGATTGGGGAATGAACCGGAAGAGGACAGCTCTCCCTCTCTCTTCTGTGACTGAAAAGTAGCTGTACGTTACAAGGATGTAGACACAGGGCCCAGCATCGGTGCAGAGCAGGTTCAACTGGCACTTCCGGTGCTGACACCCCGACCTGAGCTCCAGCTGCTCTCCTTCCGCTTCCGCTCCCCGCTGAAGTATGAGGAAAAGCAGCAGAGGAAGGCCCAGTACCCGGGTCTCTGCCCATGCGCACAGGCACCCTGAGCCGAGTCCCTGGCTCCTGCCTCTGGCCTGGTCCAGTTTTAACTATTGCAGTCACTTGGTGAGTAAGCCAGTGGATAGATCTCGCTCTGTCCCTCTCTCTTGTAATTCTTTCAAATCAGCAAAAAATTTTAAATCTTTTTTCTTTTTGTTAAAAAGGGGCTCAAAAGGGAAGGAAAGAGATTAGAAAAGGCATGGCTTCAGTGGCGTGAATGTGGGCTCCCGGGCAGGGCTGCCACCCAGCTCCACTACTGACAACGCTGCACTCTGCAACCCATCGCCTTCCAAGTCTCTGAACCTCAGTTATTCTCAGATTAAATGACACTGTAGGGCCCGGTGCGGTAGTCTAGTGGTTAAAGTCCTCACCTCGCACGTGCCAGGATTCCATATGGGCGCCAGTTCTAATCCTAGCAGCCCTGCTTCCCATCCAGCTCCCTGCTTGTGGCCTGGGAAGGCAACTGAGGACGACACAAAGCCTTGGGACCCTGTACCCGTGTAGGAGACCCGGAAGATACTCCAGGTTCCTGGTTTCAGATTGGCTCAGCTCCAGCTGTTGAGGTCACTTGCAGAGTGAACCACTGGATGGAAGATCCTCCTTTCTGTCTCCTCTCCTCTCTGTATATCTGACTTTGCAAAAAAAAAAAAAAAAAAGAATTATAAATGACACTGTAATCCGTATAAAATGCTCATTCCAGACCCAGCACATGACAACATGTAAAACAGCAGCAGCCGTAATGTTGCCCCAAGTCCCCGCTGCCTTAGGGGAAGCTCTGTTGGGCAAAAGACATGGGTGCAGGGGAGACGGCAGCCAGAGTCCCTAGGAACCACACCCCTGGCACTGATGTGCCCGGTTCCAACGTCAGGATGAAAGGGAAATAAAGTAAGTTTGCAGGACCTAAGTGCCACACTCACTATTTACAAACCCGAGCTAAGGCGACTAAAACATGTACACTTGGATAAACTTGTCTATGCACCTATCTATTAAACACAAATGCATTCTGATTCAGAGCAAAGCCTTAGAGGTTGAGAGGAGGTGACTGCCTCACAGCTAAACTTCCCTAGCTAGGAGCAAGCAAGGGAGCAGGCAGCGCCCCGGAGTGGTGCACACGACGACAAGGCCCTCGTCCCTGCGCTGGGGGAGCACTCTCCACTCGGCCTCTTCCGTGGGATAATGTTTTTGTAATTCCTCCTTGCTTGTCTTGATGCCTTTGAAATAAATGATCTCCAAGAGAGACAAGCCTTCCTGGGACACGGCCTGTACTGTAAACAGCACCGTCACATTCAGCATTCCCTTCACTCCTGGCCGCAGGCTGGCTGTCACTGGACTTCTCTACGTGCACGTCTGCTTATGGTTTGACACAACTCAGGCAAGGGGTAAGCTCTCTCTACAAACATGCAGCAAAAGAACCACGGAGTATGGATGTCAACCAAAGTCTGAGAACACGAGACACAGAACAATCCCCCAACCAGCCAGAGTTACCTGCGGCCTGGAGCTTTAGAAACACAGCCTGGAGAAACCCTTCAGGAATCTGGGAGATTTCAAAGTACTAAGATTTTTTTAGAGAGGCATAGATCTGCAAGCATCCTCTCCGTCACTATCAGAGACGCAGGTAAGACTCCAGAACATCCGAGCACAAAGATGACGGTTGGACTGGCCATGCTGAACAGCCTCAGGCACGGGGACCGTCCCTGGCCCAGGCTCTGACCGTGTTCACGTACAGGCAGAGTTACCGGGAAGGGCGTCCTGGCTGGGTCCGTTCTAGTCTGCAAGTCTCTGCTGCCCTTGCTCCAGACCGCCCCATCTAAGCACACACGCTGCTGCTTCATATACCCCGCTGCATTGCTTTTACTCTCAGCATCTCACATGCTAGCCCAGTTTCATCTTGTTTGCTGTTTGTTTTCCCCCTAGCGGAGTGTAAGGTTTAGCAAGGAGGACATTTTTGCTTTGTTCCAGGATCACTCCTGACTCTGCAAGACAGCCTGCTCAGCACTGACTCAGGGTCGCAGAGGAGGTTACCTGCACGTGCACGCAGAACCCCAACAGGCACTGCTTCCCTCGGGGAGGCAAACACCTGCAGGCAGGAAGACACATCACTGCACTGAGAGAAAAGCGATATAAATACTCCAAGTTGGACACTGAAATAATAGTAATACATGTTTCA